CAGAACTCACCATTTCCTGGTGATTGGCCCAAAGTCAACCAGTTGGCTTTCACGGCTAAGGAAGGGCTAGAACTCACCATCTCCTGGTGATTGGCCCAAAGTCAACCAGTTGGTTTTCATGGCTAAAGAGGGATCAGAACTCCTGGTGATCATCTCCTGGTGATTGGCCCAAAGTCAACCAGTTGGCTTTCATGGTTAAGACAGGGCTAGAACTCACTATCTCCAGGTGATTGGCCCAAAGTCAACCAATTGGTTTTCATGGCTAAGGTGGGACTAGAACTCATCATCTCATGGTGATCAGCCCAAAGTCAACCAGTTGGCTTTCATGGCTAAGGCAGAACCTGAACCCATGATCTCCTGCTTTCTAGGCTGGTGCCTAAACCAGCAGACCAAACTGGCCCTCCTCCCCACAGATATCACTGGGAGACAAACAACTTTTTCCGAAGTAATATGGCAAAATGGGACAGCAATCAAATTACAATAAGTAATAATAAATAAATACTTCCTAGCAAGGCGATGTAAAATTAAAGCTTCTTCATGCCCTAAAACATGCAATATCTGCTTACTGTGGATAGACGTAGCTACTGCCTATTCTTCTGATCCAGCCTTTCAGGGTGCAATCCCAGCAAAATATGCTTCATATTTCAGCTTATGCATGCATCACTGAGCCTACTCATACCTGTAGGGTCCTGGGTGCTCTCTGAACCTGGTGGTTTTCTTGCAGATGCTTCATTACCCAAACTAAGTAACATTATCAGCATTGATGATGTTACCTAGTTTGGTAATGAAACATCTGCAAGAGAACCACCAAGCTCAGAGAGCACCCAAGATCCCACAATTCAATCCTGAGTTGCAAATATTCTATCAATTCAAATCTGAGCATGCTGAGATGGACAAACTGCAATCCAATAGTCACCCCTGTCTCCTCTGGGGTGGCGAGAAAGAGGGGGGAGACCTGCTAATCTTCTGACCCTCCTTGCTTGAAATGAAAAGCTCCCAGCAAGCCAACTTCTTTTCCAATCCTTGTTTGGATATCCAGCTGATTTCAAAAGAAAATGTACTGGGGAAAAGAACCGGGATACGTATTCAAACACTCCCGATTGCAGCCTTGTCCCAAAGGCACTACAGCTCCCATTTTCCCCTGCCAATATGGTCGGCAGTCATTCTACAATTGCAGCTGCAGCATCAACCGATCAGGAAAATAACCCAGGTTTACCTTGGTTGATGGCAGTTATATAATTTCCTCTAAAGAAGGGCAGAGGATTGATTTTCTGCATTTCCGAGGAAGAAGGAATTATCACTATTCTTATAGGATCACCCTGAAGTGCAAGGGTGTCCTAACATCCCTTTTAGGACGTCTGGACCAGGGGTAGGATGCAAATATTTTTACTACCAGTTCTGTGGGCGTGGCTAGGTGGGCATGGCCATGTGACTGGGTAGGCGTGGCTTCTTCTTTTTTTGCAGTTTCCCCTCCCCCCCATGCTCCATTTTTTTTGGCCTCCTGGGCCTCATGGAAGCCTCCTGGGCGAGCGAGGAGGATCCCAGCACAGCCGATCACTGGGAGGAAAAGAAAGAAAGAAATACCGGTTCGGCAGAACAGTAATGTTTTTTACTACCGGGTTGTGCGAACCGGGCCGAACCGATAGAATACCACCACTGGTCTAAACGTCCAAAAACAAAACGCTGAACTAACTGGGAGTTTATCAAGTAGAGCACCAAAGCAAAAAAATACAGATGCGCAAGGCGCTTAATGCAGCCTGATCCGAAGATTATTACCACATTTACAATACTGTTGGGTGGAGTAAGATATTCTGCGAATTTTACACACACGCTTGCTGGCATCCTCACCCACAGAGCGCATAAACTGAGCATTCTGGTTATGCACAAGGAAAATCAATTTGCACCGGAATGTATTTTGAAGTGCTTATTACAATCCAATTCCTGTTGAGTTGCCGCACAGCAACTCCTCGCTCGTGCACTTTGGGGGATAACCAATCTAGCTTAACATAGTGTGCCCTATAAAAGGGAATGTTGTGCTTTAACTAACTCCCCTGCCCTTTTACTGATAGCTAACCCATTTGGATATCCAGCTAAAGTTGATGGATATGATTACACAATTTTATGAAGCCTCCCAAAGAATCAGGGGTTCAATATAATCAGGGTGCAAAAGAAAGAAAGAAAGAAACCCCAGAAGGATAGAGCTAATAAACATTAGGGCTCAGAAAGCAGAAAATACCATTCTGTTTCATTCTTACCCACCCCACCTGTGGCTAAAATACAGACTCTGAACATCTGTATTTTTCCTTCAGTGTTCTATTATTTGATAAACTCTGTGTCTGTCTTTGTGTGTGTGTGTGTGTGTGTGTGTGTGTGTGTGTGTGTTGTATGTGTAGGCAGTGAAACATTGATTTTTCTGGACCTCCAGGAAACAGGCGGTTCACATGCAACAAATTAAACTCCACCAGGAATACATTCCACTGGCACGATGATGTCATGGTGCAAATGATGTCATCAGGATGACATCATCATACAACCCATTTAAATTATGCCATGGACAAATTCTTGCCTGCAGTGATGTAAGAGGGAGGCATGCTATGGGCTCCATCGGTCAGGGTATTCTGGTTGGCAGGGTGCAGAAGAAGAGTCTTCTCTGCCCTTGGGCCTGTCTTTCAGAACATCTTCCCACCTCCACCCCACCCCCAGGAAGGTGAGCTCCCACCCTCCTGATCTTCTGCAAGACCTGGCTCTACCAGTTGTCATGGAGCTCCAATGAGCGGGGTTCACATGGGGAGGGATGGACGGATTAATAGCAGATCCCACCTCCCCTTCTTCTCAGTCTACTCCCTCCCTCCCCCATCTTTTAATTGGGGCTCAGTAATTGGATCTTTGCGGTATTTTATTTAGGTCTTTTATTTAGACTTTTGTATAGTTTTTATCTTTTGAAGATTGTAAACTGCCCAGAATTTATTGGGGCAGCTAATAAATTTTACAAATAGATAAGGTAGATAGATGATAAATAGATGGATGGATGGATGGATGGATGGATGGATGGATGGATGGATGGATGGATGGATAGATAGATAGATAGATAGATAGATAGATAGATAGATAGATAGATAGATAGATAGACAGACAGACAGACAGATAACAAAACAGAGGGACAGGGAGAAAGATAGTTGGTAGAGATTAGATGGTAGGTAGGTAGGTAGGTAGGTAGGTAGGTAGGCAGGTAGAAAACAAAACAGAGGGACAGAGAGAAAGATGGTAGAGATTAGATGATAGATAGATACATAGACAGACAGACAGACAGACAGACAGACAGATGTATTTTTTTTAATTTACCAGATTCTGAGGGACAACAGATACTTCTTTCTCCAGAATTTCTTTCATCTGTTAAAGTATATTTCACTGAAGGTCCTAACCCTGTCAGCTTAATAAGTCTAACCAAACCCCTCTTTCCAGTTGCCAGTTGAACTGATTACTGAAAGGCAGGGTAGCTCCTGAGTAGCTCATAAGTAAGTCACACAAGAGGCTGTTTCTTTCCTACTAGAAGCTTACTATGGGACATAATGGGCTTTGCTTCCACTTGCATCTGTCTATGGAATAATTAAGGACTATACTGAGGAAAATTCATGAGACAAAGTTCCTTTAGAACCAGAAAGAATATTTCTTTCTTCTATAGTGAAAACATAAAAACACCCTTCTGAAGTATTCCAAGCAAGTAAAATTAGGTCATGAAACAAAATGCAGTAATTAGCAAGCTTTGAAACCATCTTCCATATCCTAAATTCTAAGGCTTAAGCCTCCATTTAACCTTCACACTGATACAGTACAGTTTCCTAATATTGAGACACAGCTGTAGAGAGTGGAGAAGCTCTCTCATTATCTGGATCTGCCTCTGTGAATACGTGCGTGTGTGTGTATGTGTGTGCACAAACGTTCCTGCACACGTATGTGTTCGCATGTTTGGCCAGGAGTTTACTACTGCAGTTCCTCACTATAACAAAAGAGAACAAATAATTTCTTTAAAGAGTTAGCCTCAATATGGTTACAGAATTCCCGTCTCATGAGAAAAAATTCCCAGCAAGTTTTAGTGTAGGCACAAGACATCCAAAAAAGGTAAAAGTTTCCCCCTGTCTAGCTGTATCCAACTCTAGGGGGCGCTGCTCATCCCCATTTCTTAGTTGAGAGAGCCAGCGTTACCTGAAGACACTTCCACGCTCATGGGGCCAGCATGACTATCCACCAAAGGTGCACAGAACGCTGTTATCTTCTCACCAAAGTGGTACCTATTTATCTACTTGCATTTACATGCTTCCGAACTGCTAGGTAGGCAGGAGCTGAGGCAGGACAGGAGTTCACCCTGTCATATGGTCAAAGGATTCCACATGTCTGTTTTTGGACCCACAACTGCCTGACCTGTGTTAAACATGAACTTCAGACATCCTCTAAAGGCAGATATATACACTGTGGTGAACAGCAGGCTGCAACTGTCAATCACACCCAGGACTGATCACACCTAGGACCAAGGGAGACGTGATAGCAGTGTTCCAATATTTGAGGGACTGCCGCAGAGAGGAGGGGGCCCACTTTTTCTCCAAGGCATCTGAAGGCCAGAGAAGGAACAATGGATGAAAACTGAACAAGGAGAGATCCAACCTGGAAATAAGGATACATTTTCTGACAGTGAGAACAATCAACCCATGGAACAGAAGCTGCCTTCAGAAGTTGTGGGAGCTTCATCCCTGGAAGCTTTCAAGAAGAGATTGGACTGCCATTTGTCAGAAATGGTGTAGGGTTTCCTGCTTCGGCAGGGGTTTGGGCTAGATGACCTACAAGGTCCCTTCCAACTCTGTTAATCTAATCTGATCAGCCTTCCTTTTCTAATATGGAAAAAAAAATCACTTAATACTCTGGTCCAGAGATAAGGCAAAACAAATCAAAATGATTGTTTGAAGATTTTCAAGTTATTTCTGGTTTCTTCCTTCTAGTGTTCCATCCTATGCATCTTCAAATATATCTTCTATTTATATGGCCAACTACTGCATGACGGAAGAAGCAAAGGGATCCTTCATGAGATAAATAAATCAAGTGGTGTCAACCTTAACTTGCAGTTCTCAGCAGAAGTGGGATTCAGCCAGTTTGGACCAGTTCTGGTGTACTGGTAGCATAAATTTTGACTAGTTCAGACAACCAACAAATAAATACCACCTCTGGCTGCCCCATCCCCGCCCCGCCATTACCATGCCTATAGTCCCTTGTTTTTTAGCTCAGCTGATTCGTGCAGCAGAGTGGATTGCCGCGCCTCAGCTGAGGTAAAAAATAGCACAGCTCACCAGCACTGACAGAGAGGGCGGTCCTTGAGCCCTGTATGCGTGCGCAAAGTGAAGCGCGCTCTCAGAACCAGTAGAGAACAATTTGGAAACCCACCACTGGTTCTAAGTCATTGGCAACATGGTGATCTCGTTTTGTAAACAGCAAGCCATTGGAGAAGGTTGGAAGCTTACCTCTATTGGCGCTGAAGGCTGAGGTCGAGGTGGATCCTTAATAACCTTTAGAAGAAGGGGACAAATTAGATGATAAAGGACATAATGGCAAAGATTCATTAAAAGCACACTTTTAAAGTCATTCTGATTGTGATACTTCTCCGTTAGTTATCTCCATAACCAGCTAGCCATGGTTGAGGTAACAGAAATCTCATCCCCATGACTGTTATGGATTGGCAAAACAACTGTTGGAATGATTGTTAAAGATGCTTAGTTATCTTTAATTTGATTTGTGTCTCACCAGTGACTCTGGACAGATAAAACCCCAACAGAAAACAACCAAGATATAAAATCTATAATGACCATCAATTAAAAAACAGCAACAACCCATGAATCATGTAGATTTTAAACCTGAACTGTTTTTATTAGGTATAATACCCAAAAAATGAGATAAGAAAAGAATGTATTTAATATGACATGCTGTAACTGCAGCGAGGATTATATTCGCACAATATTGGAAAAACAAAGAAACACCGTGAGATGAAGAAATAATTAACAAGATACCAGACTGTGCAGAAATGGAAATATTGACTTTGAAAAAGCAGAAAGAAGACACAGAATACTATCAAACATGGAATCTATTTTAACAGTGGTTGGAAAAAGGGGGTGAGAATTAAGAATACTGTAGAATCAAAATTGTCAAGCAAATTAAATAACCAGACAACACGATGTTTATTAAGCACTAAGAAATATAATCAATAAAAAAATCAATAATTTTTTTGGGGGGGAATTAAATAATCCCCAAATAAACTATGAACACCACAAAGACTTCAGTTAATCTAATGATTTCCTCCCTGGGAGCACGTCCAGCTCTTTAAAGCTTTTCAGAAGACTGCAGAGATACAGCTAATCAAATCTCAAATTTCTAATGAGTTTGGCTCTTAACTTGTTTTATTTAAAAAGAATGCGGTCATCACCCATGGGCTGCAAACACAGGCAGTCACCAGGTGGCTGAACTATGACCACGTGACCTTTGGGATGCCGCAATGGCCGTGTGAAAAATGGTCCTAAGTCGCTTTTTTCAGGGCCACTCTTAACTTCGAACGGTCATTAAACGAATGGTTGTAAGTCTAGTGCTATCTATAATGGCGCCTTCCAGATGAAGAGGTCAAATTTCCAATTGGGAGCCATGCTTTTTCTCTGTAAATGTTCATTGTAGTAAATCTCAAGATTTTCTTTATTGCAGGGCCCTTGTCATGCCCCTGTTGGAATCTGATTCCGAGGGGGAGGTTGAACAGCTGACAGGGGGTGTGAGTGTGTCTCTGGTGGCTGGGGAGGAAACTGGGGAAGGGCACAGTCCGGCTGGGCATTCAGAGGAAGAACCAGGCCAACTCCCTCTGCATCCTAGGGCACGCAGGGAGGAACGGATAAGGGAGCAATGTGGGTTACGGGGGAGAAAAAGGCCCTGATTCCCTTCATTAGCTGCAACTGGGAAAACAGGATAAAGAGGGTGTTTGCGCACAGCACCTTGCTGGAAGCAAAGTGTGCATTATCTTTGTTTGTCAAGTTCTATCTGGGTTCTGGTGTCTTCCTAACTGTATGTGTTTCGTTATAACTTTGTCACTTGTATCCTTACGATTTTTATTGACTGTTTCCTAGTATGATTTGATTGCTGATTGTACCCTATGACTATCATTAAGTGTGGTACCTGATGATTCTTGACTCTTGACGAATGTATCTTTTCTTTTATGTACACTGAGAGTATTTGCACCAAGACAAATTCCTTGTGTGTCCAATCACACCTGGCCAATAAAGAATTCTATTCTATTCTATCTTTTGAGTTCTGCAATTCCTTATCCTGCCCTGTCTCGTTAATTGCTGCAGCGTGGTTTGTGTTGGTTTTTTATTTATAATCTATATCTACTTTTGATTCAGACTAAATTTCTTCCTTTTAAAAACTGTTCTTGGGAGAGTTTTTTTTCTCCAGATGATGATAACTGGACATTGGGGACCAAGTTGGAGGAATTAAAGTTACTTTACCTACTTTTGTGACTTGGTTGCTTTTGTGTCATCACAGCCCTGGGCTAATCATTTTTTAATGGGCAATACGGATCGGGCTTAATCTATATAAACTACAGTTATAGAATTTTCTTTTATTTTCCACATTGGGCACCACACTTAATACTTGCCCAAAAGAAACAAGCATGGCTAAGACCTCCCCCTGCCAAAGTACTTTTAATTAAATCAACTTTATGTAACAGTTGGCTGGACTCCTCCTGAAAGCAGGGGGGGGGGCTTAAATTACTTTAAATCCATCATTTCTTTCAAAACCCAACTCAGGAAGCCATCCTTATTTTCCGGGGGGGGGGGGGGGCAGGAAGGGAACGGAAGAGCGTCTGTAACTCCTCCATTCCTGAGAACTTGCACATGTTAAAAGACATAATATTGCCAAGATGTCAACTATTTCTATTTCATTCACATTCCTTAAACACCCATCTCAAGAGCCCAGGAGACTAAATCTCCATTTTGTTTACCATATGCAAAGTTTGAGTCTTCTCCAATTTTTTAGCGTTTGGTATTATTATCATTGTCAAGAAACAGGCTGCCGGGGTGTTTATTTAGCCAAACAAGGGGGAGGAGGGAATTAAAGGCTTCGTTTTAGAACCCAGCCGGTTGGCTTCCATTGAATAGATAACTCAACAGACGGACGGACAAAAGGAGAGATACCTAAGTAGGTAGGTAGTTAGGCAGGCAGAGAGATAGGTAAAGATACTGAGCTCGTTTTTATTTTCCGATATTTTAAATATATTGGTAGCTTCAGGCAACTGTCCCTTAACACATCTTCAATGCTCGAAGGTGGGCGGGCATTACAAAATATCAGTGCCAGAGCCCAAAGCCAGCTTGATTCAGTCAGATGTTCGCCAACGTTCATGAAGCAGCGAACACACTGTCAACGGCCAACTCTTTTTGACAAAGGAGAAAGGAAAGGGAAAGGCCACTCCGCAACCTGCCAATGTGCACAGACTGCAGATCAAGTCAAAAATTAATTAATTAATTAATTAATTAATTAAAAAATCACCAACTGGTTCCTGCCAACAATTAAAACAGGGTGCCCCAAATCATTGGGCACACTCTAAATGCCAACTGGTTGCTGCCAACAAGGAAGACTGAACGGTCAGGAGGGAGGAGGGAGGGAAATTCCTTCGATGCGATTTTGTTCAGTTCCCGTCTGCAATATTGACCCAGGCGGGAGCAAGCTTAACAAAGATGGTAAAAATTGGGGCTTTTAACTGCCATGATGCCAGTTGTTGAAAAAGAAGGCCGGCTTATGCCGTTCTGCGGACCGAAATATGGGGGAGGGAAAAACCCTGCAGGAATCAAAGTTAGAACAAGAGAAGAGAAGAGAAGAGAAGAGAAGAGAAGAGAAGAGAAGAGAA